CCCCAAAACCCCAAAACCCCAAAACCCCAAAACCCCAAAACCCCAAAAATTCAGTTTTTAATTGAAAATCAGAAACAAATATTTCTCAGCTAAAATTTGCGGTTCTCTCAGAAATTATAGCATTGGCTCAAGTGAACTATTCTATTTAAATCTCAAAATTTTGACACTTTCTCTATCAAAATAGGTCCTCTAGAATATACTCTTTTCTAGATATTTCTGAGTTTAGTTCACTGTCAGCAAATTAGACAATAAGAAATATCAAAGATGCTCATGCACTTAACATTTTGAGAAGAACTTGGAGGTATTTCATCCTCATCTGCTTTGAATGGAAGAAACTTATTTGGAAGTCAAAGCTATCTACAGATTGAAGATCGTGCTCTTGTCCATCTCCCTAAACGAAATTAAATCAGACATGTTTCCTTTCCTCCAAAATCTTATTGATACTGAGTGAGACGAAGTCTTGTTTGCCATTGCCAAGGAATTAGGAAAGCCCGACATTTGCAGTATGTTTGACTCCGCCAACCTCCTTGAAGCTCTAGAGAAACTCGCCCAGAGCGACGAAATTGTTGTCAGAGAGCAAGCAGCCAATTCATTGAGGAATGTGTGCAAGGCCATGAGCGAGTCAGATATGCAGGATTTGTTCATTCCATTAATATTCAGGCTTTCAAGCAGTGGCTGGTTCCCTGGAAGAGTTTCAGCATGCAGCTTGTTTTCGAAAGCATACGAAAGTGCAGGATCTCACAAAGAAGACCTCAGGAAGAAATTCTTAGAACTGTGAAATGAGGATACTCCAATTGAGGATACTCCAATTGTTTGGAAAGCCGGATCTAAAAGGTTCGGAGAGTTTGCTACTCATGTTGAAAAGCCATATGTGATCAAAGAAATCTTCCCCATTCTAAAAAAAGCTGGCCAAAGAAGGGCAAGACCAAATCAGAATATTGTGCATCAAGAGTCTGATCCCAATTGCGAAGTATCTGACAAAGGAAGAAAACCAACTCCACGTTATAAGTCCCCTCTTGGTCACCAGCAAAGACAAAAACTGGAAAGTCAGACTCACATTTGCAAAGAACTTTGCTGAACTTTTTAACATATTTTCAGCAAAAAGGTCTTCTAGAAGGCCCTCTGCAACATTTCCTTCAGGTTCTTGACAAAACTGCCGTTTCAAGAAGAAAAAGATTCTAAAACTTGATTTCTTGGTACTCTCTCTTACCAACCCCATTATTCTCTCAAATAAATTCAAACCCTCACCACCAAAACGGGGTTTTGGGGTTTTGGGGTTTTGGGGTTTTGGGG